AGGAAGTGTAAAGCTAGACTAGCGTTAGCAGCCCTTTCGGCTCGGCCGCCGGGCGTAAATAAATTGTGTGTATGGCTACAACATCTCCGTCGGCGACAATGTCATAATTGGATCTAAATCAAAACTACTTGATTCAGCCAAGATTACCATCGGAAGCAACACCAGGATCGGCGCATGTGTTACCATCACAACTTTGAAATCACCAACTGATTTGAAAGCATTGAAAAAGAGCTACGGTCTTGAACTTGCTAAAGATACCTACATCGGCAAGAAAGTCTATATTGGTGATTGCTGCGTCATAGGAGCCGGAGTGCGAGTTGGTGATGGTGTCATTGTTCGTTCCGGGTCTGTCGTCATTCATGACATACCATCAGACTACATCGCCTATGGTAATCCAGCCAACATATACAAGGCTAATTAGCTGATCTACTATTGTTGGAGCAGTTCAAGATAGTGTTCGGTACCTTAAGCCTACTACAACATCTGCCACTACTTATCCAAAGGTCAAAAGGATAATGATTGTTCTGGAAACAAATGCCGCCCCAGCTTGTTTGACTAAGTGCAGAAGCAGATGAAGAGCTCGGATCATTGCTAATAGGGGAAGAGCTTTCTACTGTATCCAGCCTTCATCATGGCCAAACAATTTTCTTCGTAACGTGCATCCTCTATAAACCCGATGTTAGGAGAGAGTCTGTATTAGCTTGTCTATCTATTCAAAAAAAAATACTGTACTTAATACCACCGTCACCCTTACCTCAACTAGACTGATAGTCTACTATTTTGTATGACATCCCTCTACACTTACTATAGCTTGGCAGCGCTCGATCATGCTGCTGAGGTATTGGACGATATCTGACTTATCCAATGTCGCCCATTCTGTCTCCATACACTATGCCATTTCGGCAAAAGTACGTAATTGCTTCGACAGGGACTATAAACTTTCGCCGCTCCTAGCCTGTGTTCCAACAACATGCGTCTACTAAACGTTTTTCCTAATGTCCTGTTCGTATCTACGCTGCAGTTAGCGATTCGGAGCCGACACTGAAATCCCTGCTGTGGAGATAGCGCACGCTACTTACAACACCCTATGTCGTGGACAATCCACTTGCTCTGGCCCCGACGCGTATCGACTGCCGTTATGCTTAGAACATAGCGGAATTCAGGGAAGATGAATCAAGATTGGACGCCTGCTAGGGCATTAGACAAGACACAGAAACATGCTCACAAGCAGGAGTCTACCCTTTTGATACAAGGCTTGAATTTTGATACCTTGACTGCAACGCAGAGCTTGAGTTCCTCACGAAGAGCCGATGAAATTGCGAAAACATGCAGTAGCTCGCCAATATTCTCACCAATGACATCAATAGTCGCCCGTGCCGATGTTACAATGCTCTGATTGCGGTCTGTGCCTACATACATGCCGAAATTCATAGCACAAGGATAGGAAAATGAGTAGGGAAAGAACGAGTTGTCATAACAATCTTCTGGCGACAACCTGAAGCCTACATTATTTCAATCTGTTCTGTACTGAGCATGCATAAGGTATTGTTGCTATAAGCTTTCATCACGCATATGATAAGGATTCTAATCAATGCAACGTTATCAATATGGTCGAACAAGCCGTTTCCTACTAATACTGTGTGATGATTCTTAAACGCGATTTTGAACCTTCTATCTAAGTAATCATGAAACCAGACGATATCACTCAGGGGCTTTGAGAAGTCTTCCTCGATAGTTTGATTGATATGGAAGATACTCATCTCGACACTGGAATGTTCGATTCTCTGCTTTGCCAGCTGCTATAGGCCATGAAGCTGATATTTTCTCGTCGCATTGTAGGCTAGAACAACTCTTTTGAATTTAACGTGCACACCCTCGACTGGAGAGGTTTCCCTGCCTCCAAGCGTTTGGTAAGCACCAATTTACAGGCAATGAATCAGTACATGACCGTTGTTTTCGTCCAAATCCGGTAAACACATATTTTTCTCTGAAAGGCAGGAAGGGGCAATCCATTTTGTATTCCGCAAGAGGTCATGGGGGACATAATATTCTCTATATTTGGAGCCGACGCGAAGAGTGACGGGAAATTTATGTAGGGAGTGTATACCACAGTCAGTCAAGTATACGCGGGGCGCAAGTTGATAGAAGCGGTATGCCTGTCGATTTCTTGGGCAACTGAGTTATGTATTGAGACCGAGGAGTTAACCCTATGGAAAAACTCATCCGATAGAAGCTTCGGTGTAGGGACTGAGCTTCGGTTTTTGGTCATCCTGTTGTTTGCCATCTTCTTAGCCATTGTCAACGTTAATATAAGTAATCACTGAAGCTTACGGCAGGTAACTCAAGCGAAGCATTTTCATGTGAACGCTGGCATACTTCGGTGCAGGTATGGACTAGATAAGCTGCGTCGTATATAGGAGCCTACCCCGCAGATGGATATCACTTGGCACCCGTTGCGTCAACAAAAGAAACACTTAGTAAATAAGCCTTTGAGACTCAGTAAGTCATGCTGTTTTCAGTGCGACTCATTCATCCTAGTTACGCCCATTTCGTAGTTGTCCGATCTCAGACGTATCTGGTGAAAATCGTGGTGACACAAAGTGGGGTAGACTCCATCTTCAAGTATCTCACCTTTCTCTTGTTCACCTCTCTCTTATTCACCTCTTTTCACGCGAAGTTCCCTTTGCCATGGCGAATTAATGTCCCATTTGCTCCAAGCAGTTCGTATCGAAAATCGCGCTGAGAAATCACACAGGCACCAACGACGCAACCCTCCGCCGTGCTTACATGTGCCGCAAATGTGAGCAGAAGTTCTGCAGCGAGAAAGCGATGGTGCAACATCACGACGCACCGTCTCATCTTGTCATGTTTAGCTGCAACGTGTGCAAGAGGCCCTTTGCAAGCAAGCAGGCTATGAAACAGCATAAGAGGTCCCCATTGCATGCGAGAACACTGACTCGGGAAAACCTTACGGCTGGGTATGCTGCGAGTGCGTCGTTGAACCCAAAGAAGGTAGGTTCATAATCTCGTGATATGACAGGAAGCATTGTACGGACACTAACATATGTGTCCGAGGCTTCATCTTACCAAACAGAACCCCGTACACAAGCGGCGCCCTGCAATTCGATCAAGGAGGGCGCGTCCAGCGGCACCGACAATTGGGGCGAGTACTCCGATAAAGAAGACGCTCGGACAGAAGACGATTTTCGGGCGGCTTGGGGCGAGGATCAGAACTGGGCGCTTTGCGATACAGATTGTGGGGGGTGTGGACATTGCGTTGATGGAGTCGACTACTGAGTCCTGACCAGCATTAGCTCAATAGAGGTCTTCTGGCATAGACTCGATGCTGTTGTGCTCTATGCAGCGCAGTACTTTGTGAAGATAGACTCTGGAGGCATGCAGCGTGCTCACGGATTGAGCCCTTAAGGTCATGATGACTCCACGGCGCCTCGGCAGCAATGAGAGGTGTATGGGAACGCTCACTGGTTAATTATGTAGTATCTGGAGCGGTTGTTGATTCCTGGAATCAGAGTACTGACTATTATCACTGCTGCTTTTCAGTTTGCATTGAGTGAAACTGTGCAATTACTGCGCCAAGACGGCAGCCCACTTTAGACCTTTGGGTTGCTTGGCCAACCCCGTCTTGATGCCTTGACCTTTCCGGTCTATAACACAGAGCATCTTGTCACTACCACGCCCATGGTCCAGATCCGCGCACCAGCACCGCCACCCTCCGCCCCCTCCCATCCACAACTGCAGATTCTCTTCCGCCATCCTGGCTATGACGATGGCAACAATGTTCTCTTCAAGTTACATGCCTCTGACATCGACGACAATGGGCAGCCTGGCCTCTATGCTCAGCTTGCGCTCGATGCCTGCACCGTAATTGCTGGGAACTGCGCCGGCAAGTGCTGGCTGTCGTTGCTGCGAGACGGAAGCGCCTCCATCGACCCGGCCAGCACGCTGCGCGGACGTAGCTACTACTTCCACCTCGACGGCGCTGATGATGATCCGTATGCTATTGTCCCAAACTTCCGCCAGTGGAGCTACCCGTACGAACACCTTCCCATACACTGGCAGCAGATGGCGCCCAATGTAAGCATCGCGTCGTCTGGTATCACCTTCGCACCTTCGCACCTTCGAACCTTACGGCCGCCCTACTGATGCGCGACGGTTCATGTCGCCTGAGTGGCTGTCGCGAGCAGCTTCAGGTCGCGCACGTCGTGCCTCAGGCCTAGCTAGACTGGTGGAGGACCAACGAAATGTCGCGGTACAACACGGGCTCGACATCTACACTCGAAGATACGGCTAACGCGTTACTGCTGCGCGCCGATCTACACATCGCTTTTGACAAGCCCCGTATCGCCTTTGTTCCTAAGCCGACCGGTGACGGCGGCGACATGCGGCTCGTTGCGCACTTGTTAGAGCACTCGCCCGAGCTCGAGTATCTTTACCACAACCGCGAATTGCACCCTACGACGGTGGGCATTGATATGCTGTATGCGCGCTTTGCATGGACCGTCTTCTCGCTACTCGACGCATTTCTCGAGTGCAAAACCGATCGACGTCTCGCCTTGCGCTCTTCCGAGGTCTGCGTGGCAGATGCTCGTGGCTTCGTAACCGCCGCTAACTGTGAGCTCTTCTCTACTGCCGCGACGAAGAAACGCTCGCAGAGCCCCAAGGAGCGCAAGCCTGAGCGTGATACTGTGCTTGAGCATAACGAGCTTCAGGGCTCTATCGATCTTAGCTGCCGAAAACGCGAATCTGCTGTCAAAGCTGAGACTTCATCGCCCGATACCACTCCAATGAAGGGCTCCCAACCCTATCCGATATCTCTCATTCTTCGAAAGCCTGTTCAATCGCCCACAAAATTGCCCCTCTCGCCGCTCGATTCCTGGCCGTCTTCCCACCCTCCGACACCGTCGCTCGCACAAACCTGGCTCAGCGCCGAACGCCAGCGTTCAGATCCTCACAGCACGTGGAACAAGGAGTGTGACTGGGCGCGGGACGTTTGGGACGGCAGGACACTGACGGGTGACGACGTGCGGCGGTGGTTCGAAGTCTGCGGCGTTGAGATTAGGGATGAATTACTGTTACAAGAAGCTATGGGGTTATAGTCGGTAGATCTGCTGCGTACGTTTGACTGTATGCCTCTTGCCATCACCTGAGCTGCTGCTTACATGAACTGCCGGGCGTGGATAACAATAACGGGATACCTTAATGAGTTTCGCGAGAATGGCACACGCCCAAAAAGTCCGCTCAAGCAATATATAGGTGACCACCGCAACACGACAGCGCATAGAACTCAGTAGTAATAATATGGTAGATGTCATCTGATCACGCCCAATTTAACTCTGCTCAAGAGCAAAGATAAATTGAGTTGAATTACTACGACAGAATGCTATAGCAAGACCTAATCTACCCTTATGAGAAGTTGATTAAGGGTGTTGTTGTCGCGGCATTGGGGACTGGTGTGGCCAGCTCACTTGTGGAACACGTCAGAGCGAGGGCTCTGGCTAAGAGAACAAGCTAATAGCCCCTACTGCGTACCGAGAACCACTCCGCGACGAGAAAGAACTATAGGTACTCAAATTTCAGAGCAACAAAATCATTTACCCGTCCTAGATATTAATACTACATCGCTTGGATCACTTGCAAAGAGGGTCGTCTCCTGCCATCCACCACTCAACGCTGAAAGATTACCAGGTTGTTATTGTCTTCGCGCCATGTTTGCAGAATGTCTTGATTTGCGGTAGAGCGATGCTCTTTTATCACAGATCTGTTAGTTAGTACCTGCTAGGTGCAAAAGAGTAGATTATGTGCTGGGGGTAGTCTTCCGTCATTTAATTACCCCGCTTGATTATCGCTCGTGCTTGCCGAACACTGGCGCCTGATCTGGGTACTAGAGACCCGCTCAGACCCATGACTTAACATGTGTGGCCCCAATAAGACCATTTATGAGAAAAAGCTCGCTTTTTCCAACGCAATCGTGAGCTGGTATACGATGGAACTCCTTAAGAAAGCCTTAAGTACAATGGCTTTTTGCCCACGCAACACCAAACTCGTACTCAGTCGCGGAAGCGGCCTACTAGCTAAATCGTGCTATTATTTTGCACGATGTGTACAGATGATACGTACGCAAACGACATTGTTTCGTCTTGGTATATTTCTAGGAACACAACAACTGTAGCCACCAAGAGTATTCTTGCTGAATGACCCGAAGCTTGATCATTTGCCTTTAACCTAGACAAGGTACGCAGGAACCTCGTGAAGTCATTCACAACGTCACTGAGAGATTCAAGTAAAGGTGAATTGGCTGGGCCAATCAGGTATCTATTGCAGGTCCTGCAGTTCGTATCTCATCGTGTCTGTTAGCACAATTGCCGTATCGAGCCCTACTTTGACACGTACCGCCCAATAGCCTTACTATTCTGAGACTAAATCCTTGTTCTATTAGTATTCAAGTTTAGAATTGACAAGGCCAAGAACATATTCCATCACAATCATTTAGGTAGTTAGGTGTAACCTCGACAATTATTAGGTTGTGTAAATAAGGCGTTCTCCTGGTCACGTAGCCGTAATATGAGAAGATTCTTAGAGATGCTGCTATACACAGCGCTGCCATGAAAGCATCGCTGATTTCACCAGGATGAAAGTAACCAACATTCAAGCAGTTTAACGATTATCTAAGATTTACTGTAGCCCGTCGAGTTACCATCTGTAGAAGAAATAGTATCCAGCATCAATCCGAAGGTAACGTCAAGTGTTTTCATAACCGCATCCAAAAAAGGTTCATTCCCTTGTACAAGTAAGAAATTACTTCTGATCTATTACAACACACATCTTGTCATTTTTTTCAAAGTAGTGCCCTTTGCTTTTCAAAAAGTCTCGATCTCCAAGCCTGAATCCTTGCAGTAGAAGCAACCTCATATCAGCGCGTTTTAGGAAAAGACCGTCCCATTCTTCTGCAGTTCCATGAATGCGGTTTGGGTCATTGAAGTACGTCGCAACGAAAGCAACATAAAACTCGCGTAGTTTGGAGTGCACAGCACTGTTATCGCATGCGTATTCTACATCACTTGTTGTGACTGCTGTGTTGAAAGAAATGGCTGTGTGCTGCGCGTATATACGACCCATGGCATAGTTCTTGAAGCCTGTGCACAGGAGCTTATCGCCAAGGACCCAGCATTTAGCGTCAATGCTGGCCCTGCTAGCTGTTTTTGCTGAAGGTGGAGATAGCGATGCGATGGTATATTGACCGTAGTACATCCATTCCACGAACAGAGCGAACACGGTTGTATCATCGTCTGGGAGCTTGATCCGGTTCTCGCGGCACTCCTTAAAATACCGGGAACAAGCAGCTTCAAGAAAAGGAGAGTAGTGTGATATTAAGGCTCTCGGTAAAGACCAGACGTTATGTGTATCATTGTTCGAGACATTTTCCATAGTGATTGTTGTGCCAACATGTATCTCGATTCCAGGGCCGCGAAGTCTGTCAAATTCAGTCATTTTTTCTGCAAGTCGTTATATGAAATTGGAGTTCATACAAGTCAAGATGGCTCTTGCACTTCGTGCTGTTTGTTCCTGGTCGGGGTTGTACCGTCAGGGGTGAAGTCGTATCAGAGCCACTGCGGGGACTTTCTTGGAGCACTCCCACTCCACGCCTATAGTCTGCAAGCCTTAATTCCTCATAACTAAAACCTATACATTCTGGTTGAGCCGAAATAGCTTCGTACTGGTCTTTCGTTGAATGGCTATCCCCAAACGTCTCTATATACGGGTGCGGCTGCACTGAACCAGTGCCATCCATGTGGGTACTTGAGTCTTGCAGCGGGGTTAGCAAAGATGAGTCAGAGACCTTTGGTCTTCAGGTTCGCAAGAAATCCTTGGAAGCGAAGCGGAAGTACAGGGGCTCGTACCAGTTACAGTGGGGAAGCTATATGTAGGCATCAGTGTTATGAAAAAACTGTAGTGTAGAAAGTTACACACCTAGAACTGGAATAGGATTGTATAGTAGCAGGCTTTGACAGAGAAACTATGCCAGTATCCTCAAGTTGCTCTGCAGATTTTTTGCCTTTCTTCTTTGCCATAATCAATTGAGACATAGGACAAAGCGCATATTGATGATAGTAATGAAGCTCCAGCTGCAATTGCCTCAACTGAACCAGATGCTAGTGGGCTTGGTTGACAACCTGCGCGTTGTGGATCACGGCGAGATAGGTGCGGGGCACGACCAGGACTACTACGTACTTAGTAGTACATCACTTGATAAGCATTGCCAATTGAATTCTCAAGAGGAATAAAGCATTCAGTGGAGGGTACAAATGTGAGCCTCACGAAAATTTCTAGTTCACAACTCGAAGTATTTGTATGTCCTTTGCTTTACCACACTGTTCTTGCGACTCTGCATATGCACCCTCCGGTGCGTGAGGAAAATGTCAAGAGAATTGATTTATCACTATTTGCGTCGTCTCATCTGCAAATATATATAGGCTACCGATCAACCTACGGTGAATCTACGGTCAGTCCGTATGTGGTATTATTGACAATGTCCGTGCTCCCGACAGCTGTGCAGTTTGCAAAGCGAAATTATTGAATTATGTATGTACTTTGGTGTTACCCCAATACGTGAACCAAGAGAACGCTATGTAACAGGGTTACCAGGGTGAGCCCACCAAGTAATCGAAGTACGTACAGTGAGCTTCCCTAGCTTCTGGCTTGCTGGCCTCTGGTATTCCTTTGTCTCGGCTTCTAACTATCGATTCAAGCGCGCGTTTTGAATTCTGTGCATCACACGTTATAGATGGACTTTGCTACAACACTTAGTACCAAGATAGCAATCGGGTTGTGCGTGCACGGATCTCGCAACACTAGCCCGATGAGCCCAGAACTATGCCAAGCAAGAGAGGAGAGAGGAGAAAGGCATTGCCGATTATGACAGTGGTACAAAGACAAACGTTGTGGCCACGATAGTTCTATTTCTTATGTTTCTTCTTCTGTACGACAAGTGAATGCATACTCGTTCGACAGGCATCTCCGCCCATGACACCAATGAGACACAGAACCGTGTCGAGAAAGGCGGTATCCTTCCCCTCTCATTGGTCATTTCCGGCATACGGGGTTTTACGTGATACAGGGTGTGGCTTTAGCTAAGAACTTCTCTCGACATTTTTCCACACATGCCAGTATCATCACATGGCGGTGTTTAGACAGCGCCATTACCATGCGCCATCCTGAGCGACAAGGATTTGAGCAGGACTACGATAGCAAGGATGGTATCTAAACTGTCGCAGACTACAGCTTTATATTGGCAAGTCAACTACATATTCGGGGGATTGAGGAAGCACTGTCTCAACGATAAAAAAAAGTAAGAGTTGTACACCGCAGGTAAAGGAGCCCATGGGTTGATGTACAGGAGATGCTTAAGGCTAAGTGATGGATTGAAGCTGTAGTGATGATGCAGGAGTGAAGTATGGTTTAGAAACACAGTATGGTCCTTCCTTGTGCACCATATTGAAGCTGATTACACAAACCAACGGTAGATGCGAAACTAGCCTATACAAACCTTGCATCCATTCTTGATAGAAATCACGAGTGTCATTGTTTGTTTTTCCACGCCTATCAGTTCAACTTGCTCTCCCTCAGGGAGCTTGATAGATCCAAAACCCTGTAACAAGCGCACAGTCACATATGCAGCTTCGCTGAGCGCAAAGTCGACTGAAATAAATTGTCAGCGTTATCAAGTTCCAATATCGCTTTCTGGTTCAGAAAACTCACGCCCAAGACAGACTCTAGGACCTCCGTGGAATGGCAGATAACCCCATCTTGCATTAGTTGGGTTGTTGTTCATTGGCATTTCTCCATCCCATCTCTCAGGTCGGAATAGCTCGGCATCCATTCCGTAGAGATCCGGCCGTCGATGCATAGAATATACGCTAAAAGCCACAGTGCTTCCTTTGGGTATAAGGACTGGTGATTGCCTGTCTGGCCCTCCGCCTTTTGGCAGGACCGTAGTTCTCGTTGCAGTACGTGTATTTACGGGAACGGATGGGTAAAGTCTTAAAGCTGAGTAATTTAGCATTGTGAGGAAACCCACTTTAGCAAATATATCTCTTACTCTCTTTGAGCACATTATTAAGATATGGCATTCTTCTCAGATTATCTCGGTTTAGCGGAATGTCTGTTGTGCACAATGAAGCAATTTCTGCACGTAGCTTTTTCATAACTTTTGGGTGGCGTACGAGTAGAAAGCTGTTGCAACTCAAATATCAGTAGTAGACTATATAGAATGCGTCGAATCATGACTCACAACGTCCAGGACAGAAGACATGCTGTTGTATCTCTACCAGCAGCTAGGAGGTTGACTATCTGGCCTCTGAGTGCATGTCGATCCGATGTCTTCTTTGCTACAGTATCCAAAAAGACATACCGCTCTGAATCTTCGTTTGCAGCGCGCTCAGAGGAAAGATTAAGATCAATGATCTGATCGGCAAACTTGTGGACGTTGTGACAGGCCTGTCGAAATTCTCTTCCGTTAACGAGCCAATAGAGATCTAGGAGTCGAAATCTTTTCGTCACCCACTGTTGAGCAGTGTTGAAGGCATTGGCGAATGTATTCTCTTCGATCGCTTCCGGCTTGACTAAGCTACGAACCGATTCACCAAACAAGAAAGCAGTAGTCGTGTCGAGCGTTAAGCGAAAGAAAAGAGGTTGCAAGTCGACCGTTCCATTGCTTCCTTGGAGAAGGTCTATCAAATCGTCTACCGCAGGACGGAATACCTCGAGATTCTCATATTGCTGATGTTTCAATTGCGGTCGGAGGATATCGCGAGAGTGTTTCCACTCAGCCCCCTCTTGGGTGAAGATGCCATCACCGAACATTGGGAAGGTGATGTCTCGACGAGGGCCCATTCCGAAATCTAGACACCATTAGCAAGACTACATGCTATATATAACTATGCGCACCTTTGAAATTAGTCGAAAAGATTGCCTCAAGATTTGCTGGCTCTATCGTGCCGTACGCTCTGGTGCCCAGAAACTTCTGTTCAAGCGTATTGCCAGTTTGTCGGAAATGAAAGAGGAAGAGTTCCATCAATCGTGACTCTGCATCTGCACGGAAAATCTGCTCAAGTCGATCGACTCCGAAAGGCCTCTGATTCTGAAGCCTGGGAGCCGACTGGCAACCATGGCGTTGACTGATAGCTTCATCTTCCTACTCTGCCGTCAGGAGAGCTTCAAGACTACAACATAAGGAAAGTCATACCGCTCGCTTCCTCCGTTCAAACATATACTGAACTACAACTCCAACGGATATTGTGAACCCAGTAAGAATGAGTATGCTGAGCCTCATCTTTGACTGGACTGTTCGGGATGTAAGAAAGCTCAATCCTACAGCATATGAATGAGCATGGCTGGACTACAATGTTCGTTGTTAAGTGCGCGTTAGAGTTAGTTGTTATAACGCACGGGATGCTTATAAATAGTATTGGACGTTTACGAAGTCTACTTTAAAAAGGTAGTAGTATACAAAACAAACATCTCACAAGCTGAACAATCGCTCCTAGCGCAAGCACACAAAAGTGGATCGTTGAAGCTGGCAAATATTTCCACTCTTTCGTTTTCTAAACTAGTTAATCCTAGCCCTACCTACTGCTTACTCCCTGTAAAGCTCGCGTGCTGTTTGGGCAGCCAGCTTATGCTTGTGGCTGTTATCAATATATTCTTTGCTATGCAGGAAAAGGTGGTATACAGAGCCACAAAGCATATACGCTCTTGATTTACAAACACCAGTGCGGGGTGATAATCATTTTCGATATTCATATTCATTCGAAATTGGTGTTCGCTTCTTGCAATAGAAGATGGCAGTCGTAAGCTCTTGGCATTTTACCCCGCGTGCCTTGCTCCAGTGCGTAAGTAATTAATTCACTTTCAGCCAACAAGCTAACTATACTATTACGAAATCCCGAGTTTTTCCACCGCCCCACTGCCTCTACTTCCGCTGGCAACCAAGTACCAGGCCGCGTGGCGATCACGCACGAATCAGTTCACTGACCAGCCCTTACCACTGGTGAGCAGGCCTGAATGATTCTATCGAATACCTAGACGCATACAAAAGCGATAGAGGCTTTGCGACGGACAGAACTGATAGTGGTGGTCGTATAACTCGTGAGGCGCATTACTGAGATGAAGCAGGTGCCTTTATATGTCTTGAGGGAAGATATCTACACGATGGTAATTTTTGCATTTGTAAGCATCCATCGGCTCAGAATTAAGCCTGGTATATATCTGGGTAGATTATTATGATTTTTACAATGGCTGCAGGCTATGATGTTGTTGCAAAGTCAAAGTAACTACCTGTAATTTTGTCCGTTACGGCAGTTGTTCCGTTGCAAAGGGATGTACGTTATCTTTGAATATGGCTTCCAGATTTTTCACGTCCATGTCTTTGAGACATTTATGTAACTAGTTAGTTGGCAGGAAAGTTAACTTGAAGAGCGATCGTTTTACCTTGAGCGCTGAGGGTGGCATTCTCGTCGTAAGTCATCATGGCACAAGAGTGAATGTTTGACGCCAACTGCTGCCACGCACAGAGCAATCAATACAATACCTACAATAGTTCTAATTCAAATATACAAACAATCACAGCATATTAAGTTACCTACGGAAAAATTCCTCAATACCTATAAAATTAGATGTGCAGCCGTAGGATGAGGTCTATTTTTCGCAGACTTGCTAACAATCAAGTTCTTGATTCGCTTGATTGATTCTTGATTGATTCGTCCAAATCAATCAAATCAAAAACAGAGTTGGCGCGCCACCAATCAAGATCAATCTGAACTCTCTGTTTGATTGAGTTGATTGGTCTTTTTGATTGTATATTGTCCATAATAGGTAATCCACGATAGAATTTGTGGTGTGGTACGGTGGTACTGTTATCCGGTCCGTGCTGACTGTATTGTTTTGATCTCAACCACCTATCATCAACACCACCAAACAAGTAATACAGATTATTTTATCCAATATGCCTCTCCCACACACTCGCCGTCAGCAGAAACGCGTTCGAAGTGGCAGTTCTATGCCTGCAAAGCGTCTTCGGACAAGTAGAGGGACTGCCTCCCAGCCTATCAATATCGACGTAAGCCCAACCCAGATCAGATTTTACGCGTCGCCATATGAAGCCCTAGCTGCTGCCGCAAGCCGGGCCACCAATACTACCCTTATCGAGTCATCCACGCCGTCTACGATACTAGATGAAGCTGTTGTCGCGTCTATTGACGATACTGACGCGGCGACGGCTTCTACAGCGGATCCTCCACCCAACGAGCCGGCCACTGATCTGGATAGCCAGTTCGCGGATAACTTTGAAGGCATCAACTGGGATACTCTGCCAGCGTATGGGAAGCCTCCATGTACGCTCAAACACAAGAAGAGCTGGGTCTTTCAGCACGGCTATCGCGTCGCGTCTCTTAGAGACTTAAGCCGTACCTTCTGGGTCTGTCAATATTGCCATCAGCACAACGCGATAGGGATCAAATATATCCTTGAGGTGACAAAATCAACCTCAGCAGCGATCAGCCACCTCCAGCTGAATCGTCCTAGGCACAGCTTTGATCGTACTGGCAAGAAGGCTGGGCTTGTTCTACCGGCGGGCCAAAGATCTCTACAGTTTATCAATCAGCAAGGCTTTGTCGTTCAGCAAAGTATAGCTAATACGATTGGCAACTTCGACGTACAGGCCTTTAGATACGCTGCAGTCCGCTGGGTTATTGAGAATAACCACCCGCTTCGTGAGTTTGAAACACCAGCTTTCAAACAGATGATCGCATACGCCAACCCAGAGGCAGCAGCAGCCCTATGGGTAAGTCACCAAAGTGTATCGGCGTACGTCCTACGCCTGTATCACTGCCTCCAGCCACTAGTTACTGCGTCGCTATCACAAGCGACTAGCAGGATACATATCAGCTTTGATGGATGGACTACCAGAGGTGGCAAGCGAGGCTTCTTTGGAGTGGTAGCTCATTTTGCTGACGCCTCTGGCACGATCAGGGATCTCCCGATTGCCCTCCCACAGCTCGCGGGCGCCCATACTGGTGATCGGATTGGAGAGGTTGTAGCTACAACGCTCCAGACTTTCAATATAGGCAGTGCCCAGCTAGGCTGCTTTATACTTGACAACGCCTTTGCTAATGATCGAGCTATCCACTGCCTCTCCCGCGAGTTCGGATTCAACGCCTTACAATGTCGCCTCCGCTGCGCTCCTCATACACTCAATCTTGTTGGCCAGACAATTATACAAGGTTTTGATTTGGACGCCTGCAACAATAGTAGCGACGCGTACGCAGAAGAGACTCAGTATCTACGCGAGTGGCGTTCAGATGGGCCTCTAGGTGTGCTAGTAGATATTATCAATTATATTCGCACACCACAGCAATACGATCGATTTCAAGAAGCGCAGCGTCAGGTTTACAGCCTCCCACATCTCACTCGTAATAGAA